CAGGATTACCTTGGTCGTGGTCGCTGGCAGATCATTCTTCATCCCGATAACACCGTGAAGGCTGCCCATGTTGACGATGTTTCCTTTTGTTTGCCGTATGTAGGGCAGTGCATACTGTACACGAGATAGAAGGGGAAATGCAGCCACAGACAAACCATTACATTAATTCAAGCTGGCAGATCATTCTTCATCCCGATAACACCGTGAAGGCTGCCCATGTTGACGATGTTTCCTTTTGTTTGCCGTAAGTAGGGCAGTGCATACTGTACACAAGATAGAAGGGGAAATGCAGCCACAGACAAACCATTACATTAATTCACATAGCTTAGAATTGTCCACTGGCCGAGACCCTCCCCGGTATGGCTAGCAGAAACCCTTGCAACTGGGGGTGGCGGGGATGAATCCTTAGGGGACAGAGCAGGCCCTCTGCTGTGGAGCCAGGGACCTTCCTCATCACGTTCATTCAGGCAGAGGATGACTGAAGGACCCAGGAAAAGCCCTGCAGCACCTCTAGGACATATACCATCCCAGGGTTTTTTTCCTTCTTGACTTTCCACTCTGGAAGATGCCAGCTGCCCTCAGGAATAGGGAATCAGCTTATATATTAGAAACACGCTCACCTTGGTTAATAGCAAATAGCTCACAACATTGAGTTCCATGAGATTTTCAAAGTCTTGGGCAGTGATATCATTTGACGATTGTAAATAACCTGTTGGGGAGAGGACAGAAAGGGGACAAGTGGTTTCACAGAGGCAAGAGCCACAAAGAGAGAGAGAACAGAGCCACGCCTGCCCACCCCCACAATGTGCTGATGGATTTCATCTTTGTTTTTTTTCCTCTTTAAAGTAATACTCATTTGAGTAAAACCAGAAGTCAAGCATAATAATCAGATCTTATCGATGTAAGAGTAGCCCTGCTGGATCCGACCAGTAGAAGAAGAAGAAGAAGAGTTGAGTTTTATACTCTGTTTCTCTCTACCCAAAGGAGCCTCAAAGCGGCTTACAATTGCCTTCCCTTCCTCTCCCCACAACAGGCACCCTGTGAGTCTGAGAGAGCTCTGAGAGAACTGTAAATGATCCAAGGTCACCTGAGAACTGTCAATGATCCAAAAATTATTTATTTTATTTATTTTTGGATTTATATCCCGCCCTCCCCGAAGGCTCAGGGCGACTAACAGTGAGGCACAAGTGCCAAAGTTAAAACAGATAAAAACAGCATAAAACAGCATAAAACAATATAATACAAACAACAAAGTGTCAGTGCTCCATTTATTACAAGATGGGGTAGATCTTAATCCAACGGCAGCGTTCCAATAACCTGTTATCCCTTCTCAATCCAGGGTCACCTCGCACCCCGATGGAACCACATAGTGGTGGTAGTGGTGCGATGATGCATAAATAGCGGTGGTGGAATAGTGGTGGCGGCGGCTCCTACTCAAAAGCCTGGCGGAAGAGCTCCATCTTACAGGCCCTGCGGAACTGAGAAAGGTCCCGCAGGGCCTGGATCTCCTCCGGGAGCTCCTTCCACCAGGTAAGAGCTGCCACCGAAAATGCCCTGGCTCTGGTAACAGCAAATTTAATATCCCTGGGGCCTGGAATTTCCTTGAGATGTTGGCTCCCCGACCGTAGTTCCCTTGGGGGAACATATGGGGAAAGGCGGTCCCTTAGGTAAGCCGGACCCTGGCCATACAGGGCTTTAAAGGTAAGAACCAGCACTTTGAAGCGGATCCAGTACGCTATTGGCAGCCAGTGCAGTGCTTTCAGCACAGGCTGAATGTGATCCCTCCTAGAGAGACCATTCAACAACCTGGCAGCAGCATTCTGCACTAGCTGCAGCTTCTGGATTTGCGACAAAGGCAGCCTCAAATAGAGAGTGTTACAGTAGTCTAACCTCGAGGTGACTGTCGCATGGATCACTGTGGCCAGGTCATCGTGGTCAAGGAAGGGAACCAACTGTTACGACAGGGCCAGTGGGGCAAGGCAGAGAGGGGGGAGGTCACAGTCCAGTCCGAGAGTCAAGCCAGAGAGAGAGCAAAATAACCAGAGCAAAAGTCCCAATACACAAAGCCAAGCCAAGTCAGAGCGTTACCGAGCTCAGAGTCCAGATAAGCAACTGTCGAAGTCAGGGTGCAGAGCCGAGGATCAAGAGCCAGGGGGTTGTCAAAATGCGGACTGGAGTCAGGAACCAGGAAGTCAGTCAGTAGCCGCATACCGGGAACAGAGTCAGAGGTGCAGAGCTTCTGGTCCGAAGGACTAGTTTGCCAGCACGATTAGCCAGCCCTCAGCGACCTATTCAAATAGCTCGCTGGGTTGTTAACTCATTAGTGCCTCATTAGCACTGCCTTGCGAAGTCCTTGATCTTGCTAGTACTCCGGGCTTATTGATCTCCAACCGCACAAGCATGCCTCTTTGCATCTGGTTGCCAAGTCCCGGTGTCTCCGATCCCTCAGCCGATGGACAGGTGGCAGAGAATCGGGTGGCGTGCTGCTGGGGCCAGGCACTGCCTGATTGGTTTCAGGTGCAGGCTGTTCTGGAGGCTGGTGCTCATCCTTTCCGGCACTTAGGTTTGGCAAAGACTCCCTTGCCTCTGATGGTGTTAAAGGCACGGAGTCCTCAGTTTCAGAGCTCCCAGGCTCCGGGTCAGGGGCAGGCATGACACCAACTACCGAGCCAGCCGAAGATGGTAAAAGGCCGACCTGGCAGTGGCTGCCACCTGGGCCTCCATCGTTAAAGAGGAGTCCAGGAGCATGCCCAAACTCCTAACCTCCGACGCTGGCACCAAAGGCACCCCATCGAAGGTCGGGAGTGGGAGCCCCAACTCTGAACCGATCCGAATCAGGCCCAGGACCTCCATCTTTGCTGGGTTTAGTTTCAACCGGCTTAGTCTGAGCCACCCAGCCACAGCCTGTAATGCCCGATGAAGGTCATCATGGGCAGAGTTTGACCGACCACCTAACATCAGATAGAGCTGGGTGTCATCTGCATATCGATGACACCCAAGCCCACAACTCCGGGCAATCTGGGCAAGGGGGCGCATGTAGATGTTAAACAACATCGGTGACAGCACAGCCCCCTGAGGCACCCCACACTCAAGAGGATGTCTCCGGGACCGCTGATCCCCTATCGCCACCCTTTGTCCCCGACCTTGGAGAAAAGAGGCAAACCATTAAAGGGCAAGCCCCTGAATCCCCACGTCGGCGAGGCGGTGGGCCAGCAACTGATGGTCGACCACGTCGAACACAGCCAACAGATCTAACAACACCAGTGCCGCCACACCACCCTGATCCAGATGCCTACGGAGGTCGTCAGTCAGGGCGACCAGCACCGTCTCTGTCCCATGACCCGGGCGAAAGCCGGACTGGAAGGGACGCATCCTCCAGAAAGCCCTGTAGCTGTAATGCCACTGCACTCTCAATAAGTTTGCCCAAATAGGGCAAATTGGACACCGGACGATAGTTGGCCAATTCGGCCGGGTCCAAAGACGGCTTTTTCAAGAGAGGGTGGATCATTGCTTCCTTGAGTGCCCCAGGGAACCGTCCCTCCGAGAGGGACGTGTTGACAATCTCCCACAGGGCACCTCAGAACCCCTCGTGGCACGCCAGGAGGGGCACGGATCTTCTCTAACAACAACTCAGGAACAAGGGAGGAAGACTCACCCTCCCCAAACTCACCCTCCTGCATACATGCCAGATAGCAGGTATGACCACCAAAATATTGAACAGCCAATAGTCAGGCTGAAGGTCACCTCGTTGTGAATGGACCTTCCCCTTCTTTGACAGGAAGATCATCTCAGCATCCCATTGGACATGAGCTGAGCTTGCTACCATTAGCATATATAAACAACAGCTTAACTCCATGACATAAAGTTTGACACTTGCAGAAAAACAACAACAGCCTCCAATTAAACTAGCGGCCATCACTACATCCTCAAACAGTAGAGTCCACCAGCTGATTCATCTTTAAATGAAGAGGTACTTCCTTTAGAAGTGGCTAGTGTGAGAGACACGGGGACACGGGGAAGCGAGTCCCCAAGAGCTTCATCTAAAAACGCTGTGTTACTTGGTTACTGTAATTTATTCAGTTGCTTTGCGAACAGCTGCCTGCAAAGCTATAGAACCTCAATCACTTTATTTGGACAAAGTCCATTCTGGTTTTTGCATAAACAGGAAACGCCCTCACACCCAGACACATCCCTCCCAGGGAATCTTCCCAGACCCCCAAAGGCTGGAAATCACTCACCATCTCCAGCATTGTTCACCAGGCAGTCCAGGCATCCATAACGTTCTAGAGTGACCCGAATCAACCTCTGCAGGAACAGGGATGAAGAGAGATCTAAGGCAGGGCAAGGATAACAGCAGCATGGAGAGCCCTGCAGTCCCAGAGCTGCAAGCAGCCATCATTAGAACTACCCTGGGCGGCACCTGTTCCAGGCGTTTGGTGCAAGCGCAGGAGACGGGGAAGGATGAGTATCAAAGGAGCCTGGGGAACCAAGGAGGGGAGCCATATGTCGGGGTGGGGGAGCCAGAGAGCCCGAGCCAGAGAGGACTGTAGAAGTACCTTCTTTATAAAAGCTCTTCTCCTTGTCTATCAGCAGAATACTGTTCTGAGGTTTTCCTTCTAGAGCAGTCTAGAACTCCCTGTTTCTCACCTGGTAAGGCAACTAAATTTATCTCTTCTGTTTCCTATCCAGTTTGTTAGTTCCACAAATAAAGCTTTCTTTGCTCTTAACCAGTCCAGTGACCTTACTGCTTCATAGGCTTTCTGCTATAAAACCTCCGGTCCGACTGGACCCAGAGTCAAGGAGGCAAGGTTTGTGGTCAGCTTCTTAGCCCTGCCCATTGTCAGGCTCCACAAAATGCTTGTACCAGTGATGCAGAAGGAAAGCTATGGCACTGAGGACTAGATTCTTGAAGTTGATGGAGAAATTAAGTGGAATCCCAAGCAAAGATTTAAGCAGAGGAGAGATATGTGCCTTCACATATGACAAACACATCCTGAGTTTATGAAAGTGGAGCATTAATCAAGAAGAAAGGCCTGGAAGAACAGTGTCATGAGCATTTAAACACCTGAGAATTAGAATATGGAGAATGGTTTTGCAATGAGTACAGAGACAGTGGCGTGCCAAGGCCAGGGCACGGGGTGTGCTCCGCCCCGAGTGCAGCTTGAGGAAGGCCCTTGAAGGAGAGCCTTTGAGGCCAACCTCATGCTGCATCTAGCCCAATGTCTTTCCTTTTCTTTTTAAAATGCAGTTCTGGCTGTAGCCACTTGGGATGCAAGGATGTCCGAGCATAGCAAAAAGCACTTGAGGATTGGCTGCACTTCCCTTTCTCTGAGACTGAAGCAAACTTGCTTAACAGATCTAGAACCAAGCCAGCACCCTGACAGCTGCTGCAGTCATTGCCAGCCTGCAGGTCATGTTCTTCAATAGCCTAGCCTTTCTCTCTTCCTTTCCTTGCACCCATCTCAGCCAGATGTTGCAAAGCAGCAAGATAAAACAACCTTTCCCTCTCTTAATTTCACTCCCTCTTTTCCACACTTATTCATTTCTGTCTCCACCTATTTTTTCATTCCCCCCACCCATTTTCACTTCTTCGTCTCAAGATCTTATCCCTATCCTGCTCAGTGACAGACTGTAGTATAGTAGCAAACTTTTGTTAATATTATGAACAGAAGGCACTGGATTTGCTGAGCACTGTATACTGCACTGGTTTTACCCTCATATTCTTAATAAACTTTACTTTTTTGAATGAAAGCTGTTGGGAAAAACAGGTTGCTTACCTGTAACTGAGGATCTTCGAGTGGTCATCTGTGCATTCACACCTCTGTAGCATGAAGCTGTGTTTTAAATATTTTTCTCAAAGCAGGAAAAATTCAGGATACAAGCATCATATCTTGCAAGTTAATAGCAACAATTTAAACATGATAACTTTATCTGACACCGCACCCTAATTAGGATATACTAATGAGGCATGAAATGCATCTTCTCCTCTTTAAGAAAATTCTTCCGTTTGATGAACTCTCTGCATATAAGGATTTACTTCCCATTGATGAAATTTTCATAGGCTTTGGATTTTTATATATGAAGAAACAAAGATTTTCTATGAAATTTATCTGTAATTTTCACGTTACATGTATTGCACTATTCATTTAAAAATTTGAATATAACAAATACAAAATGAACTTGTAAAAATTGTTAATCAGTAAGGTTCTCATGGTTAATCCAAACTGTACATTGCACTGGTTCTGCTGGGCTTGCAAAAACGTGTCTCCCCCAGTTTCCACTGCAGAGATTCTCTGGTTTGACTTTAGTCCTTTGGAAACTATGGGGGATGGGGGCACCTTCTTTGAGGTGGGGGCAGTGTGTTTCTTAACATCCAGTCTGGTGAAGCTTGCAATCCCTAGTTTCTGATGCTTTGGCTAGTTTTAGTAAAAGTTAGTACAAAGGCAGACTCCCAGCTCTCAAAAATGCCTTGTGGATGTTTAGGGATGGTCAGCTCTTGGCCCTCTCGAGTGCCTGCCCAGAACACAAGTGGGGTGGTGGATCTTATTTTATTTTATTTTATTTTGCTGTGAAGTCACAGCTGACTTATGGAGACCCTGTAGGGCTTTCAAGGCAAGAGATGTTTGAAGGTGGTTTGCCATTGCCAGCCTCCGCATCGGCTGCCTCCCCTGCTTAGCTTCTGAGATCTGATGAGGTCAAGCTGCCCTGGGGATCTCCAGGTCAGGGCTAGGCTGAGAGTAATGTGACTGGCCCAAGGTCACCCAGCAAGCTTCCAAGGCACGAGGGGGGATTTGAACCTGGATTTCCCAGATCCTACTCCAGCACTTCAACCACTGTATCATCCTGGCTCTTGTGACAGAATAGCGTGTTGAAAGGTGATTTTTTTTACTGCCATAATTACAGGGGTCATTTCGTAGAAAAAGAGCTAGGGGAACTCATTAGCATAACTCATTAGCATATGCCACACCCCCTGACATCAGGGGCCCGGCGGTGGACCTGCAAGGCCAGCGGGAGTGCGAGGAAGCCCCGCCAAGGCCCTCCCTGGCCCCAGGCAGGCAGGGGTGGGGAGAGGCGGGGAGGAAGCAACTTACCCTCCCTCTTCTCTTGCCTCCTCCTGGCTGAATGAGGGCTGGAAGCGGGGCGGCCGGAAGCAGGGGGCGGGGCTTCGTCATGTGCCCCGACCCCTGCACCTCACCCGGGGGAACGCATTTCCCCCCGAAATGACCTCTGCATAATTATATACACAAAATTAAAAGAAAATTTTTGACTTTCTGCGTTTTTTTCCTGGCCACTGAAACAAAGTTTGGGTTCAGTGGCACCTTTAAGACCAAACTTTGTTCTGCTGGTTGAGACCGACATGGCTAACCACCTGAATCTTTTTTCTGCCTGTTATTATTATTCATTTTAATTTATGATTATTACTGAAAATCCTGTTGTTGTATAGAGGAGGGGCTCCAACCTGGAGAGCCCCACCCTGGCCTCTGCTCATCAGATCTCAGCAGCTAAGCAAGGCCGACACAGACGCAGGTGGTGGCAAAAAACCCCTCTGAGCGTCTCTTGCCTGGAAAGCCCTATGGGGCTGCATTAACTCAACCATGGCCCCGGTCACATGGGTCGGATATTGCGCGGGGGGGAGGCGTGGCTAATTGCCCCAGAGGAAACTAACGCGCCCAAGCACACATCCCGGTCAAGGTTCCGTGGTTAGGGGGGAGATGCCAACCAGACGGGTATCCTGCAGCGCGGCACAGAAGCTGTGCTGCACGATTGCACCAGAAATCGCTCTTTTTGCGCATGTGCTGTTGGGCACTGTTGCGCAACCTGCGGAGACGGGTGCCAGATGCCACGTAAGTCCACCGGAAACGCGATCGGACGCCTGCCCTTGGCCCGAGGTTTCCGGAAACTAGTACCTCGGAGGTACTAGTTTTTTACTCAGCATCTTCGGCGGGAAGTCTCAGGTTAGCCACGGGAGCGCTACACTTCCCAGATGTGGCAGTGTGATCGCGCCTGGAAAATCTGCCTACCATCCATATCGTGGGCATGGCAAATGCTCCGTGTGACTTCAGCCCATGACTTGATGTCAACAAAAGAAAAAGTAAATGCTGTTTAAAAAAATTATCTGCCCTGGATGCCAAATAGTCTTGATATGCCACCATACAGAGTTGAAAGAACATTTTGTGGAGATGCTGAAGAAGAACCCCCAAAGAAGCATCACTTTGCACCCAGTTTTAGCCTACCTTGATGTCTGACTCCTTGCGAACATCACAGACCTGGTAGCAAGCTTGCCCTGGGCACCCAGAAGCCTGCAGGTCCCTCTGAATTGCTAGTCCCTTTTCCGCTGCAAGGGGGAAGAACACAACAGTTGCCTGCCTTTTTTGTGCAGCCTCTGCCACCTTATCCGTCCATCTTTTTTTCACAACTGTGCCCAGGCTCTAAGTACACGCAAGCATGTTTGCTAAATGCATTAAAGACTGTTGCTCTTCTCTCTTGGTGGTTTTCTCCATTTGGAGAAAGGCAGGCTCAAAGGGCTGCTAAATGAATGAATGAATGAATGAATAAATAAATAAATAAATATACTCTGTTTTAAATGGGGAAACCAACTCCTTGGGGAGGGGGTCCCATCTATTGTTGCCTACTGGAACAGGGGAAGACAAAGAACATGATGACTGATGAGTAGACAGATCATGTGCGGCAAAAAGAAGGGTCGATGATCCTACTTTCCATCATCGGCCTCCTTCCCTGGGTGTATTTGGCAACACTCTACTCAAGGATGAATATAACTTCAATTTCTTACCTGTCTCCTCTCTCTGGAAGGGCTTGAGCAGAAGATGGGAAATGCCACTTTGACCACAGTCTTCTTGTTCCCATTTTCTTTCATCTCCAACTCTACTATCCTAAACCTCATCTTTTCCCTGCCAACAGGGAGGTAAGGGGCTGGATCCTGGCATTATATCACTCCTGGGCCAGGAGCTCTGCAGTGCTCACCCCTCTGCTCCAGAGACAGTGAACACAGATCTCTCTTTCAAGGCTGTCAGTGGCCTGGAGCCAGAGTCACTGAAGGGCCACCTCCTCCCATATTGCCTGCCCAAAAGACTTCTTTTTACCTCAGCTTTTAATTAAAGGGGTTGTTTTTTTACAATTCTTTTTTACAGCCTGCTTCGAGCCTGAGGCCTGTTTTATGAAGATCATTTTAGGCTGCTAAATGTTTTGGTTTTGTCATCCTCTGGCTGGGCATTTTAATGGCTGGGCTTTTAATCTTTTAAATTCACTATTTATTATGTTTGACTTGGTAAGCTGCCACAAGGAGGTTCTCTGTGGAGGTGGCATACACCTGTTTTGAACAAACAAGGGGACCCAGTCGTGGTGGGGCGAGGAAAAGTGCTCTGGACTCACCTTCACGGGCTCGTGAACAGAAGACCACATTGGCTCCCCGGTGAACTGGAGGGCGAGGAGAGAAAAGAATGCGAAATAAAACTCAGCTTGGCACCCGCAGAGATGTGCACCACAAGGTTTATTGACTGGTTTAAAAGGCTGACTTCCTTTCCCTCCATTTTGGTCTCCAACCCTTCCCAAAACAACCCACTGACACTTCAAGGGAAAACCCCCAGTTCTTTTCAGTCTCAGGAGGGGCAGCCTTTCGCAGGCAGATCTTCTTCCTCAGGACAGACCATCAGACTGTCTCTGACGATGAGAGCAGAAGACTCCCCCCCCCCCAAGCCCACCATGGTTATTTTCAGGGGGGGGGCTGGGCTGGTCTGCAGAAGA